TTAAAGCCACATATTAGGACTATTATTACCACAAATCAAATTGATTGCAACTGAATTATATAAAATTTTAGAGCCATTCTACTATAGTGTCCCAAAGTGACCGGTTATTAAATCCTATCCCTTATATTATTAAATTTATTATTACTGTATATTAATTTCATTTTATACTGTATGACAGTAATAACAATATGAATTGTTTAATGATTTATTTTTTACCATTTCATTACATTTGTGATTTAATTTTTAAAATACGGATTTAAACGATAGATAAAATTAAATATCCTTTATTCATTTTGTTATAATTTTGTATGATTGACTTAATTAGATTATAAATCNTTAATGATTTATTTTTTACCATTTCATTACATTTGTGATTTAATTTTTAAAATACGGATTTAAACGATAGATAAAATTAAATATCCTTTATTCATTTTGTTATAATTTTGTATGATTGACTTAATTAGATTATAAATCTTAGAAACTTAAATGATTATAAATTATAATATATTAAGATAAATTGTTTGTGGTTTTAAATTCAAACATCAGGTGCGAAGTGTTTCCCAACTAAAACGAGATATGATTGGAATTGAATTGTTTTATTTGGAGTCCGATAACTCATATTCATCTCAAACTCAATTAAAATCCCATTCTTTGGAATCAATTAATCAAACAAATGGGTTAAAAGGTTTCAGTGCTTCCGATGAATTCATTAATAATAAAAGTCATATGAAAAGTATTTCGCAAAATAAATCCACTTCTGAGTTCAATTTAATCAATAACTATAACCGTTCGGATTCGAGTAATTTCTCAGGTATTTATATTCTTGCGCTTAATATTAGAAAATTATCTTGATGTTTACATTCATTTATTTAAACAATTTATGGCAATTATTTTTCTATATTTTATTCGTAATCTATATTAATGTAACATGTAAATTCTTGAGTTAGAACTACAGTTAGAATTTACCAGAATTATGTTTTAATTTTAAATCTTATTAATTTTAACTCTATTCGTATAGTATAATATAAAACAAATATTATAAATAGTTGAAAATTAAAAACACTTTATAATTTATTGCAAATTACAGTTTTTTCAATTCTTACAGTTTAAATGACAAATTCTTATTATATTTTTAAATCTTTAGTAAGAATCTATTAAATATATTTAGTTTTGTAGAATGCAAAGCTATTTACAGTATATTAGTATACAGTAAATGAGAATGTGCTGTACAGTGATTGAATCAACTAATAAGTAATTATCAAATAGATTTACAATTCTAATTAGAGTACAGTATTGCAGAATAATGAATAATACTTGATTCCACATAAAACTTTTTAATTTGTTATTTTAAAGTTAGAATCATTATTGAAATGAATATTTAAAAATAAATTCAAATAGTAAATAGAAATGAAATGAATGAATAAAATTATAGACATAAACCCGAGCCGTCGCGGGGAGTCGTCTCTCAGTGAAAAGATTAGTCTTAATATGGAAACAATGGCTGAAAATGAGTACATAAACGGTGGTTCAAAAACATCTCAAACTCAAACTTCTCCAGATTTTATGAAATCGAGTCGAAAGAATGCAAAGAAAACTAAAAAATTGAATGAAGAAAAAGTTGGTAAAAATGATTATTTGGACAAAAAACATGAAATTGAAGAGAATATCACTCAAACATATTTGAGAAGTTATTTAGAAAATAGAGCCCAAACGGAGGCCTTCCTTGAGTCAAGTCCTGCACATTCGCCACGATTTGAAAAGCACTCTCTGAGCAGAAAATCAAATATTGAGTTGACTTCTAGTCCTACTGTAAAGCATAAAAATTTGAGTAAAAATGAAAATCAAAAACCTATTAAAACTAAAAAGTCTGACAAAACAAAACTGAATGAAAACGTGCGACACAAAACAGGCGCTGATTTGAATGGTGTGGAAGTGTTGAGAAGAGACGCTCTCCACGAATACGCCGAAACACTTCTGAGAGAAACGGCTTTCTTAGTCCAAAACGAAAGTCTTAAACAAGACTCGTTTGAAAGCAATCAAATTGAACACAAAATGAAAAGCAATAAAAATACTCCCAAATCTACACCACAAAAGTTCCAAAGCAATCATGTTTTAAAAGTAGATTCACAGCCAAACTCAAGACTTTCAAAAACAAATAGAAGTTATGAAAACGAAATGATCTCCAAAAATAAGACACAAACAGAAAGCGAAGAGGAAGAAGATATAGTGGAGGCTGGAAAGGGAACTGATGTGCCAAATGATAACATACCAAAGTCTATAGCTAACATCTCATCGCCATTAAGAAAATCCAATATTAGTCCACAAATATCTGAATCAATGAGTCCTAATCGACATATTGGACCCAAATTAAAGGATCCGATTGAATATCTAAAGGATGGCAACGATATTCCTAGTAAATACCTACAACTCAAATGGATGTGAGTTTTATATTTAATTCAACTTTTATACTAGTTATCTGTATCTACTGATAGTTCATATTATTCTTACGTTTTATAGTTGAATTCATACAGTAGTTATGAATAATAACTTATTGTTAGTCTACCGTCACTGTATTGTAATTGCAGTATTCAAAATTCAAGACATTTGTATCTAAACATTTTTAGTTTTTATAGAAAAATATTTATTAGAATTTAAATTTTGATGGAAAATTTGTTTAAATATAATAATTGAATTTTATTTGTAAAGACACGGGTTTAACGGAAGCAATGGTTCACAGAATTTATTTATTTTATCAAATGGAGAATTGGCTTTCTTTGTGGGAACTGTAGCTGTCCTCTGGAATCCAGAGCACAATATTCAGAGATTATATACTTTACACACAAATGATATAAATAGGTAACAATACTTTCTTTCGATATTTAGTTAGATATAAAAAGTTAATATTAATATTTTTCTAAATCAACATTTGATGTTAATATATACAAAAGAATGGCTGTCCGTCAGAGTAAGAACATTGTGGCCACGAGCCAAGAAGCAGGAAAGGGTGAGCCATTTGCCGTAAGTATTTATCAAGCAATTATCTGTTTTTAGGGAAAATAATATCTTATAAACTCGACAATAGGTTGTAAGGGTTTGGTCAGCAAAAGACATGCGAACGTATGCAGTGTTGACTCAAAATGTTTTCGGTTCGGCCGTCACAGCAATCGATCTCTCACTTCAGGTTAGCATCACTTGCTTTATGAGGCGATTAGTGTTTTATTTATATATTCATTTTAATGAAAGTGTCAATTTTATTGTCATTTTATTGTTAGGGTTCTCTTTTGGTCATAAATAGCGAACAAACACTTAATTTAACAATTTGGGACACAAAGAAATCTGAAATTGTCAACAGTTCCAGAGTATGGTTTAATATAAATTTGCAAGAATTTTATATTAAAAACAACATTCATATAATACATATAATATTCATATAATACATATAATACAGAAAGAATTAAAAGGCGGAGAGACTGTGAAGGGAACAGTATTTCATCAAACAGAGGATGATATAATGGTCACCTATGGGAACAAACACCTGACTATTTGGCAAAGAAAAAGGGACGGGACTATCGATAGTCGAACAGCTATTAAACCTGTTGGTCTATTCAATGAAATGATTATTTTATCCTAAATTCATGACACCATTTATATGAAATAGGATTCAAAAGCGACGAAATCTATAAATTGTGTCGACTTTCTACCGGACCACAGCTTACTGACCGGTGACACCACCGGGACTCTGACTATTTGGGCGCCTCTGGAGGACGAGAACGGAATACTAGAATTTGTGGTCAAAGAAGTCAAAGGTCATGACGTAAGGCATTGATTGAAATGATACTGATGATTAATTTGATGAAATTAAATTGTATTATTGCTTCCAAAGAAATCTCTGACATGCCTTCAGTTATTGCAAAATAACATATTAATAAGCGGTGATATTGAGGGCACTGTCAAAACTTGGGATGTCAACGATGAACAGTTTAGACTTTTGAATGCCATCAAAGTAATCACAATAGGGTTATGACACATTCTTACCAATTAATTCATTAATTTTGTTTAGTTACCACCTACCAGTGGAGCTATTAGTGCCATAACAAGAGTTTATTTGCCCGAAGCGGATAACGATACCATTGAGATATATATCGGCACTACAATGAATTTTATTCTCAGGGGGTCTGCACTTCAGGCCACTAACTATACTGTGATTTTTGAGGTTTTAATTCATTTCCAGAATAATTAACCATTTTTTAAATTTTCCTATTCATTTCCAATTTATAAAAAGGGCCACTCGTTGGCAGTGAGAGGGCTGGCAGTTGATCCCAAACAAGAAACCTTTTATAGTTCAGGACTTGACCAGAAAGTGTGTAAATGGAATCAATCCAATCTTATTTGGAGGACAACGACAGAGGTTTTGAGTTTAAGAATTTTATTTGAATAGCTATTAAAACATTTCTTTTAGAGTCAATGTATCTCAGCAGCTGTTCACCCGAGTGGTCAGGTATTAGCCATCGGTTCAGTTTCGGGAACTATATTTATAATGAATACAAGCGATGGAAACATTGTGTCTCAACTGCCTGTATCTCAAGTATGCGTCGGATGTCTGGCATATTCACCTGATGGCGATCTATTAGCCGGTGGCTGTCAGGATGGAGTACTTTATATATTACCAGTTCTTGATAACGGATATTCTTATGAAAAAGTTTCCGTTTTAAGGGTACAAAGAAATATGAATATTTTATTTTAATTTTTCAACTATAAATACTTGTTCAATCTTAGGGCCCTTTTGCTATACTGAGTCTTCAATGGTCTATTGATAGCCAATTCATTCTTACGTCAGTTAACGAGAGTAAGCAAAATATAATTAGAAAATATATTTTCATTCTTTGAAATCAATTTATTCTTTGTTTTAAAATTGAAATATTTTTAGGCAATTTCCAGGAACTACTTCTTTGTATGTATTAAATATTATAATATTTATACATTTATTATAATAAGAATTCATATTTAGGGGATTTACCTAATTGTCGATATATGAAAGGAGTGACTAATGTTTCAGACAAAATTATTTGGTTTGATCCCACCTGTAGTGGTGGTGAAGATGTGAGAGGTAACCAAAGCATTACAGCATAGACTATCATTGATATAAATTTATTTGTATAAATGTAATGCAATTAACAATTAATTATATTCAAACCGATTGTCAGGCATTTGGGACAACCTATATCTGCAGGATGTGGTGAACCTGAGCTGTCACTGTTCCCCGAGTACTAAATATGTGGTCAGTGGTGACGAAGACGGAGTTTTGAGACTTTTTTCTTATCCCTGCTCTGACTCTAAGGTAAATGTACGCCAATTTCATAACTGCAGTCATACTTATTGGAAATTATTTGGTTTATAGGCGGCTTTCTTCGAGTATAGACAGGGAGGCGGGAGTGTGACTGAAGTGAGGTTTACTTTCAATGACAATCTAATCATTTCAGGCAATTATACCGGGGCTGTTTTTGTTTGGCAATCTATCCCCTTCGAGAATGCTATTCAAACAAATTAGTAACAAACGAACATAAAATATTTTATTACTTTATTTTTACTTAATAATAACTATTGTGGACAATATTTTTGTTTTAAAATGAGTTCATTTTGAGGATTAATATTTTGTCGAAGAAATCATAAGTTAAATTGCTTGTCATAACCTTTTATGATTACTTTGGTTTAAACCAAGTTATAAAATAGATATAAGTTAAATTTTATAATATAATTCTGTATATTGGGAACAAACTGACTGCTTGTCAAATCATTAGATTATTATAGAATTTCGATTTTTATTGTACTCTAATACTAAAATTACCGTAAACAATTCATTCATTGTGTGTTCATCGTATAATAATCTACTTTTATGCCTCTTTATCCATTTGATAAAAGTATCAAAAATAAATAGCCAAATGGAAAGACTTGAGTGAAAAATTTAAAGTGTTTGAATAATATAGAATTGTTGAGATGAATATAAATACAGTATAATAATTATACCGGTAATACATTATATACAGTAACCTATCAATTGAATTATATAAGTTTTATAGTGTCAATATTACAAACTCAAATATAAATTTATAATAATTATTGAAAACAGAACTTTTTAACTTTTAATTTGTTTTTAGTTGTTAAAGAAAAACTCAAATATTTGCCAAAAATAGCTTTTCATCAGCTACAATTTAATGAATGCAATAATTTGTTTGTTTTATAAATCATTGTTCTTATTAGAATCCATAGTTGAGTCCATTTGTTTCAAATGAAAGACTGAATTTAAAGTAAATAAGTTATTGATAAACTATTGTTAGTATATTAAATTTAAGACAATTATATACCACTTATGACAAGGATTTATAAAAATTAATTTCATAATTTTAATAACTCTTTTGCATCATGTTTGTTGACTTTATATAAAAATAAGTTTATATTGTTAAACAGTAAATATTGTGATTTTCTTTGATATCTATATAATATTACTACAGACTTATATAAGTTATGATAGAAATACATTGTTCCGTACATACTGTTGATTATAGTGATAGGAGTATACTATTCAATCACTTGTCAACTTTGTCTTTATCAGTATCTATTATTCAGTATAAGATTGTTTTATAACTTATATACAGTGCGTGTAATAAATAACTTATTGTAAGTTTACTATTAATTAGAATTTGTTGATAAAAGAGCTTAATTTGGGTCTGATTTATAAATTTCTTCAAAATCATTTGTTCAAATTATGTATATTTAATGTTCATTTATTGCATTTCATTATGAGTATTGTAAACTTAAAAATATTTCCTGTATGTATTGATTATATTACTAATTGTGCCGTACATTTATGTAATTCAATATCGATATAAGAATTACCCTTTTTCAAAAGTCATTTAGAGTTTAGCGCAAAAAATATTTGGTCTTAAAAGTCGTTTCCAAAGCTTTAGAAGTTTTTTAAAGCATTCATTTTATGTGATTTTCTAAATATATAGTTTTTATAATTTTATAAATACTTAAAAATCTTTGTAATTTAGAAATAAAAAATATATTTTTAACAAATTGTTTGTTTTTAGATTCTGTAAATGAATTTATATGCAATGGTTTGGTATTTTGACAAATGCTATATCTTATCATTTAATTCAAATTATTATTATTATTAATAGCTTAAGTGTCGCATTGATTGACTTTTCAACAATTATGCTTGCTAATCAGTTAACCAGAATAAGTATATTATACATGCTATTCAAAAGACTATCACTTTCTATACTACAGTATATTATATTAGGTTAATATAATCATACAAATACTGTAGTATTTGTGTTAGCATTACAAATATTTCACATCTAAATAATTTAGTAATCACTGCAATGATGGTGTAATACTGTAGTAATATAGGTAAGCATAGTGTAAGTCTGTAGAGTACAGTAGGCCGTAATAATCGGTGAGTGCACTGTATTCACAGTATTATATTCAATAGCATCGGTGGTGTTCAAGAGTGAGTAGTGTTTGAATAAGTGATGGTTTGTGGTGTGGGTTGCGATTGGAGGCAATGGACTGATCGATGGTTTGTTCGCTGCATTGAAACAGCACTGTCTCAACGCAAAGGTGTTGCCCTCAACACAACACTACCCATCAGTATATGCCATACAATAGTGACTATTAGTACTAATTGTGATAATTGTGTGTCAATTGTGCGCTAATTATAAGTGTCCCACAAATACACCACTCATTGACACCCTCTCACACCCCTCACACGCCTGACATTCACTCATTTGGACCACAATATCACCCATCGATACAATACTTGCAATTTGACCACAATTTGTGTCACACTTCACCTCATTTGCCACCAATTGGTGAGTATCTGATTGTCTGGTCATTTGAGTGCTAATTGTGGCCAATGTGTGGTCACCAGTGCTGCCAATGTATGCAAAAGCAGTGCAAACCCTGTAATGACAGTGCGATTGCCATTGAAATGATATACAAAATGGATTTCTATTTATTTATTTACATTTGATTTATTGCCCTTTCATTGACGGCTACAGTCACAGCACTATTTACACAACACTTGTGTCATCACCACTAACACCTAATTATGCATTTAATACAAACACTGTCCGTCTGTCTGTCCTATCAATTGGTTCACAATCACTGCTATTATTGGCATTCATTTCAATGACAATCACGAGTAGTATTGCTGTCATTGTGTCTGTGAATGCTATTTGCAAACAATGCAAACATTCATCACTTGATTACACTGTTTTGTATACAAATGATTTGATAATTAATTAATTAGGAAACTACAAAACTATTATAATTACAGTTATAATAGCATATATGAAACATAACTAACAATTAACGATTGATTTGTGAACAGATTTAGCATACAATTTGAATAATTGATGCTCACATCACTGCATGTAATCCTTTGGCATCACTTGAAAGGTATGGATGTGATAGTCATTAATGTGATAATAATGTAATGATGGTGTTTGTGGTGGTAGTGTACGCTGGCTAGTACTCAGGGTGAGATCCGGGTGGGGCCCAGCCATCAGGCGAGGCTTCCAGACTGTCAACTGGATGTGATGCCCAAAGAGATGCCTGAGAAGTGTGAGGCTCTGGAGGAGCTGCGATGGGCTCCCGGAGTGGCCGACTGTGATCTCATGATGTACTTGAGGGCCGCCAGGAGTATGGCTGCCTTCGCCGGCATGTGTGACGGCGGCTCTGCTGAAGACGGATGTCTCGCCGCTTCCAAAGACGACACCACTATTAATGCACTCGAATTGGTAGGCATTGAGTACTATATTAGCAGACAATTAGTCCATGTGTTTGATCTGTGGTTACCTATGAATGACAGCTCCACGAAAGCAATTACGACACGGGAAGAGCACTACAGGCTTTGGTTAAGAATCCAATTCCTAAACCCATCGATAAAAAGTGGTCCGAAGAAGAACAGGTATGTTGTGTTTGTCTGGTTTAGTGATTGTCTGTTGTATTAAAGTGTTGTGTTTGTTGTGTAGAAACGGTTTGTGAAAGGGTTGCGACAATACGGCAAGAATTTCTTTAAAATCCGAAGAGAATTGCTGTCACATAAAGAAACGGTTTGTTATTGAAACTCATTTAATGGTGAAATACGAGATAATTGAGTGAAACGTTAACTTTTAGGCCGATTTGGTTGAGTTCTACTACTTGTGGAAGAAGACGCCTCAGGCGGCCTCCACTCGACCCCATCGACGGCATCGGAGATGTGTTTTGCGAAGAATACGGTCCTCTTCTACAGCAGGCGTCGGCAATACAAACCGAAACTCAAACTTAAATGTGGCGCCGAGTAATGAGTTCTTGGATATGAGTAGTGCAAGCGGTGAAGAGGAAGACTCGGATGACTCTGATTCTCGAGAGATTACGGCCACTGTTTGTTGCAATTGCTTCACCACTACATCGAAGGAATGGCACCCGAATGGTGGCAATGGCATCAATAATGACAAAACTTCGTTATGCAATGAATGCAAGATATATCAGAAAAAATTTGGTGAATTGCCTAAACACCAAACACCGCAACCAACACCAAACCCAAACCCAACACCACTGGCCACTCCACAACCGCTCCCATCGCCGACCCAACAATCCGTTCAATTTCTCTTCAAACCAGTGGTTAAGTCCGAAGACGAGAACTGTCTCATTGCTAACGGAAAGCATAATATGAGGACTCGAAGGAGTAAAGAGAAGAACTCTAAGGACTTGAATCGAAGTAATTCTAAATCTTCGGAACCTAATAGTCCTGAAAGAGTGGATTCTGTGACCAATAAAAGTGACGAAAAGTCTCCAAATAGTTGTTCGGATAACGACAAAACCACTACTGAATTGACCGCAAAGAAGCGAAGTCTTTCTGAAGCGACGGAATTCGATGAATTGAGTGCCGACTCGACGACCAATAAGCGTAAGAAAACGGATGAAAGCGGACGAAACAGTCCATCGTTTTCAAGTGAAAGTAATCCTATTGTGTCTAATGATGACAATGTCATCAACTCTAATGAAGACCAATACCCGGTGAGCATGAATTCACCGCATTCTCCCATATCTCCAGCGCCCAACTCTGCTTCCAACGAACAAAACGAGAAGACTTTAGAGAGCAGTGAAAGGGTTGAGCCGATTGTGAGTGAAGAAGTGTCACAAAAAGAGCCGGAAGACGATAAGACCAGAATCGCTCAAATGAGCGAAAGCGACAAAATTGATGACAAAACACTTCATAGAAGTCAAAGTCCTTATAATGAGCAGAAATCGCCTGCAGAACAGTTAATTACACCCAAACTCGAGCCGCCGTCGTCTCCAAAATCGCCGGTCAATTACCCGACATCACCGACACATCACTCCAATAGTACTGATAACATATGTCCGGTGCCTTCAAATCAAAAGTTAACCATTAGTTCGACGCCTCCTTTAATGCGAATCAAAGAAGAGCTAAATTATGCGAAATCTCCGCCACAAGTAATGGGTGCCATCGATGGCAGTTCGGCCATCAATGAGCGTATGTTTCCTTTTATGGGCTCTCAATCTTTGGGTCCACTTCCCAATCGAATGTCGAGTTCGCCGACTCCTCACCACTCGGTATCCGAACTCTCATCCAATGATAAGACAAAAGAAACGATTCATTCGAGTGATACCCCCTTTGCTCCCAAAGCCCCAAAAGATGGCTCGTCTTCTTCCAAACGTTCATTCTCTCCATTAGTGAGCTCTGCATTAGAATTGCCTAATATTCCACTCCCTGTCACTTCTGGCATGTCTTCCATATCGAGTTCGGAACCATTGTTTCAATCTTCATATATGACTCCCACTGAGCAAAGACTCCCAGCAGTGACTGCATCACCACATCATCACAACAATCATTTCATTGGCATTCAAAGTCAGCACAATCTGTCGTCACCGACACTTTCGCCCCATCTCTTGCCACCATCGATGCCTCCCATGTCTCCATACTTCCCCACCTCTTGGTCTCCATACGCAGCCCGTTGTCTACCGTCTCATCCGTTAGGCTTTCCGAGCTCTCCATTTGCGCCACAAATGATGGGCGTCCCCTCACAAATGCCGGTCCAACACAATCGCGATATTCCGGTCTCCAAATCCAAATCTCCAATCACTTCACAGTCCAGTCGGATATCACACTCTCCCTCGCAGTACACCTCTTCAAACGTATCCAAACTCGACAATAAGTATGACTTGAATTCGATGCACAACCGCGACGTTGACAGACATGATAGACATGACAGACATCGTGAGCACGAAGAGGAAGAGTTAGAGCCGACCCCTATATTATCGCGAGGACCGAGTCCTGAGCCTAAGATCGAAGACAGCGAATGCCATCGAAGCCAGTCAGCCATGTATGTGATCCAGTGTTGCATTTGTTGCAACTATTGCTCTATTTTTATATAATTTGTTTATAGATTTCTGCGGCATTGGAATCGTGGTGACTATAATTCGTGCGCTCGAACTGACCTCACTTTCAAACCGGTTCCCGACTCACAGTTGGCCCGAAAACGAGAGGAAAGGGCGCGAAAGGCAGCCGAGAAGGAGAGAGAGGAGCAGAAAGTAATTGAATATTTTATTCTCGAGTTTCGAGTTTACTATAAGAGTTCCGTTTGTCTTAAATGAACAGAAAATAGCGGCCGAAAAGGCGCTGTCATTAGAACTGAAGTCCGGACTAATGAATCACTCAAACCTGGAAAACACTCATTTGAGTCCAATTGGAAGGCATACTCCGCGTAATTACACCGACACCCCAGCTCTGAGACAGTTGAGTGAATACGCTCGGCCTCACGCGGCCTTCTCTCCAGTCTATTCCCACCCATCCATTCACGGAATGGTCGGCACGACATCCAATGTGCCCCTCAGTATGCACGGAGGGCCCGGTGCAACGCCCTCTCAAATCGATCAGTTATTGCAATTCCAAATCGCTTCTGGACTCTACGGCAATGCAAGGGATCGAATGGCAGAAGCAGAGGAACGGGAGAAAAGGGAGAGACATCATCTGATGGAAAAACAACGAGAATTGAAGGAAATTGAAATGAAGACACGAATAGCTTCTCAGGGGTCGGCCACACCTATTCCTTCTGGTAATCTATTGGACCCGCATTGGCTAGAACTTCAGCGCCGGTATTCCTCACAACTTCATTCAAACCCGAACGCATCGAATAATCCGGGAAACGGATCGCCATTTGTTTTCTACTCACCCGGAGAGAGACAGGCAGCCGAACAAATGCACGGTTTGTCGGCCAGCGATCGTATGCACGCCGATAGGTTAGCCCTCGCCAACGCTGACCCGCTCTATAGGTTGCAAATGGCAGGACTCGCACAAGAGCTACACTCTCACGCCCACAATCACGCTCACGCCCACCAACACACACACCTTCACGTACACCCGGGTCACGACGCTGTCTCGGCTGCTGCTGTGGCTGCGGCCGCCTCTTTAGGTCACCCCTCTTCTCAGTTCGACCCACAGATCCATTCAAACCATCCATTACTGCCCTCTAACTCATACCCATCCCGTCCCCCCAGTATAATGTCTCGCAATGAAATGCAATCGTCGGCTCTGTTTCGGCCCTCATTTGACGAACAGTTGGCTCATCAGGTATTTAGTCAATGAGTGAATGAATGAATGAATTGAATCTAAAGATACAATTTATTTGATGAAACAGTTCTCAGCACAAGCCCTACATCACGAACAGCTCCAAAGGCAGCTATTTATAGAGAGGGAACGTATGGTTGCGGCTCATCTGAGTGCGGCCGCGGGTTCCCAACTCTCACACCCACATCCCTCACAAATACTGGCCCAACACGAGGCAGACTTCTTGCGGTGATTATGAATAAAGTGTTGAATTATTATTATATTCTAAACATACTTTGCTTTATAGTCAACAACAACGCGAACGTGAAATGAAACTCCGATCCCTTGAAGAGGCGGCTAGAGGTGGTCGACCCCCTCTCAGCTAATCATGCGATTTCAATGGTTCTTCGTTTCACTTTTCAATTCTATTTAATTTAATAATTAGAAAGTTTTTAGATTTTATTAAAGTATTTGTAAATAATTTTATAATATATTATCAATAATGAATGCATTTTTCTATAAATAATGAATTTTAGAGATTAATTAATTAATTAATAATTTAATTGTATAATAACTGAAAATATGCATTTCGTAAATGAATTTTACAAATAATTTTCAAATACTGTATAATCAGTGATCCTTTGGATTATAACACAAGTTTAGTAATTATTGTTATTTGAGATTAAGTGTTGTTCTAAACGAAACAAATAATCAAATAAATGAATGTAAACTTACTTTTCTATTATTTCTATCAATAATCTCATCACAATTATTGTCGATTCAATTTTACATTAAATCTTATATAAAAGCAATCAATTATTGCATACATTAATAAAAATGTTTAACTCTTTGTTTTTTATTATCTTTATTCCTACAAACAAATAATTTAAATACAAATATTTTCACAAATAAATACACTTTAAATAATATTTATTTAATAAATCGGTACAAAATTTATCGGATTAATAAATATAAATTATTATTTATAATTGATTTTAATTTCACTTATTCTATATAATCATACACTGTATGTCATACATTATACTATATTATTGCGTGCTATACAGTACTACTGTATGTATGAGATTGGATTTATCAAAATGTGACTTACCGTTTGAAAATGGTAAATTTTTAAACATTGAGATCTAACTTGTAAGAATTTATTTCTAACTATAAGATATAAATGATAAAGTTATCTTTTTGTTAAAATCTACTTAAATCTAAATTTATATAGTGGGTATTTGAATTGTGTGTTTTAAATTGATTATTTAAAATCTTTACATGATTCTTAATATGAATTATGCAGTATTTTTCACTTATAATTAGCGCACAATTGACACACAATTATCACAATTAGTACTAATAGTCACTATTGTATGGCATATACTGATGGGTAGTGTTGTGTTGAGGGCAACACCTTTGCGTTGAGACAGTGCTGTTGATGCAGCGAACAAACCATCGATCAGTCCATTGCCTCCAATCGCAACCCACACCACAAACCATCACTTATTCAAACACTACTCACTCTCTCACACCACCGATGCTATTCAATATAATACTGTCAATACAGTGCACTCACCGATTATTACGGCCTACTGTACTCTACAGTATGCACACTATGCTTACCTATATTACTACAGTATTACACCATTATTGCAGTGATTACTAAATTATTTAGATGTGAAATATTTGTAATGCTAACACAAATACTACAGTATTTGTATGATTATATAAACCTAATATAATATACTGTAGTGTCGAAAGTGATAGTCTTTTGAATAGCATGTATAATATACTTATTCTGGTTAACTGATTAGCAAGCATAATTGTTGAAAAGTCAATCAATGCGACACTTAAGCTATTAATAATAATAATAATTTGAATTCAATGATAAGATGTAGTGGTGAACAAATAGCATTTGTCAAAATACCAAACCATTGCATATAAGTTCATTTACAGAATGTAAAAACAAACAATTTGTTAAAAATATATTTTTTATTTCTAAATTACAAAGATTTTAAAGTATTTATAAAATTATAAAAACTATATATTTAGAAAATCACATAAAATGAATGCTTTAAAAAACTTCTAAAGCTTTGGAAACGACTTTTAAGACCAAATATTTTTTGCGCTAAACTCTAAATGAC